GAAAAATCGCGAAATTTTGAAATTTCATATCTTTTGAAAAAAATTTTTTTATTTTTTTTCCTTTGGCAGAACTTCGTTAAGTATATGATAAAAGAAATATTCTGACCATAATTTACCCAAATCGAAAGGGGTTGATTCCAACCATTGGTCGATTTGACATGGAATGACCCACAATATTATGTTTAAAAACAAAAAAATTATCATTCAGTTATATAAAAATTCATAATAAATAATTATCTTAAATTAAAACATAAAATCAATAAATATTAGTGTAAATATGTTAAAAATATTAGATTTAATAATAATTTATTGTTTATATAATGGAAAATGTAAATTGACAATTTAACCGATTAACCATTTAACCGGTTAATCAATTAACCGTTTAACTAATTTAACCGGCTAACTAGTTAATCGGTTAAATTGGTTTAACCGGTTAATTAGGATTAACCAGCTGGCCGATAAACTAATTAACCTGGTTAAATTTTTTGGCCGGTTAAGCCGGCCAAATTGTACAGCACTAATTGAAACTAGTGCATAATTTTTAATTTATAGCTAATAAAATACTTTTAACTGCATTAGAATCATTCCTCTCAAAATAAGCTACTTTTTAGGTGACAGCTTGAAATTTTTAAAAAATTTTTTGGACCACATATTTTTGGAATACGTTTCTTTAAATTTTGTTATATCTTCTGAACGCTCATAGCTCAAAAAATAATATGATTTTAAATTACATTATTGTCTATTATTTTTAGTGTAATAAAAGAAAAAAAGATTTTTGTTCGGATGTATGTTGTGACGATTTTTTTAGAAAAATTTTTGTAGATACAAAATTTTTTGACATAAGTCTATCTCAATTTAAATATCAAAATATTCTCTCATTTATCTGAGTGATAATCTTAAAGCCTAAGTTAAAGATCTAGTCATTTTTTCAGTACATTAAAATTGGAATCGCTTTATTTATTTATTTATTTATTTATTTATCAACATACGCCTATCGGCAATATACATCAAAAGAAAATATTTAAAATTAAATAACAATAATTTAAAAAATGAATTATCCTTTTTAAAATATTTCTTATAATTCACAAAATCGTGAAAGCGCATGCCATAGTTAACTTTCATTAACAATAGAAAAAACATGTATTTCAAAAAACTACGAAGACAAAAAAATTGAAGCTTTAAGATGAACTGTGCAGATCTTTGATGGATTTTTACAATCAAAAGTTAATTAAGAAAGTAAAAACTAACGAAAATACAACGTTATTTTTTTTTAATTTTGAACTATTCCTATTCTTAAACTAGTTTACCGATTTAAATAATCTTTACACTAATAAATAATACGTCAAATTTCTACAAGTTTGTTTAGGATGTAGCTGTGATTACATTGATGAATTTTTCGATGATAACCAGTTAGAATTTTTTGTTATACTTTTGATTATAAAAAACTTTGTATCGATTTGTACGTCCCATTGAATATGTGTTTTTAAATTTCGTATGTATTTTAGAAGATACTGCTTCTATAATAAACAAATATTAAAAATTAAATTATAAAAATTTTTTCCAAAGATCTTGAAACTAAAAACTCAGTTTACTGTTTGAAAATACATGTGTATTAAAATCTTATTGCATTTTTTTTAATTGTTGCATGTTTGATTTTTTTGTCAAGTAAATAATTGAATCGAGTTTTTTTAATCAACTTAGAGTGTAAACATTTTTCTTATCAAAATAATACAAAAATAAAATCTAAGAAATGTCAATTACTGTGTTTTAAAATCGAGCAACCATGATATAGATTGGAAAAAAAAAATATCTAATTTAAACGATACAACGAAACTTAACAAAAAATTATATTTTAAATACATGAAACAGAAAGTATAAGCGTTAAAAATGATGCCAGATTACGTTATTTAAAAACGTAAGCCATTAAGCGTTAACAAAAAATTTTCTCTCCCTGTGTTTTCATAGAATATAGCTTTTGTTAATTCCGTAATCTCGTAGTAACTATTGTCCTCAATTTAATACAGTAAATATTATTTTTAAAACGTCATTCTTAATCTTACTAAGCTTCAGCATTGTGTACATTAATATGTTAATCATCAATAAGTATAATACATTGAGTGTCCTTGTTGTATGACAACTTTATTAACTTCCATCAGTGTCTTTAGATTCTTCTGAAACCAACAATCAAATCGAACATGAAATTTAATATTGAATCAATGACTTCATATAACAGTATTCATCCAACTTATCAACACACTGAACAATTTGAAAATAATATTGAGTCTTACCGTGATGGTACCCAGTGGTTTGGTATTTTACTCGCTTTCATATCTGGTGCTTTTTTTACTATAAGTTCAGGTCTTGTTAAAGCTGTTAAAAATGTCGACCCTATGGTTCTACTTGGAATTCGTGCAATTCTACAAATTATAACTACAATTTTGATAGCTATTCGATATGGGAAAAATCTTGTTGGGCCGAAAGGATCCCGACTACTGCTCAATTTTCAAGTAAGTTTCAATTAATGTTATAACTCTGTTGGGATTTATCAATGTAACTAACATTGTTGTTTTTCATTAATCAAGTGTATTTTTCAAAGGGAATAGTCGGAGGGATGACTTTAGCATTGCTATATTATAGTTTTAGAAAACTACCTCTTGGTGATGCAACTACTATTATCTTCAGTTCTCCTATTATCGTTTTAGTGTTATCATTTCTTTTTCTTAAAGAACCATGTGGAGTTTTACGAATCTTCGTAGTGACTATACTTTTTACCGGAGTTATTTTAGTATCAAGACCTCCGTTTATTTTTCAGGTAATACAACAATCATTTTTAATTGTTTAGTTTCACGATCAGCTGGTTCTTTTGACATGAAAAATCGAAAAATTGACTTGTTCAAGTTTTTTTTTCTTATTTTGTTTTTCATCGCGGCGGATTAATAATTACTGTAATTATGAGAAATAAGTTTTTCAATTGCCAAATTGAAAAAATTTATACTGTCTCGTTTTTTATTGAAAATTTTCCAACATAAATTTGTCAAGTACCGTATGCTCTTTTTTTTTTCTTAAAAAAAAAACGGAAGACTGAACAAATTAAAAAAAATGTTATATTATCAACATGTGGAAAATTTTCATGAATTTTTTAAAAAATCATGAGTTTTGATTATTGATCAACAATTTGAAAGTAATGCAATAATCGTTTAATATTTTTTTTTTTTTTTTTTTTCATGGTAAGGTAAGAGCCCCACCTTCAAATTGTTGATCAAAATTGATAATTTTTTAGAAACAATAAAAAAATCTGTGAATCATGATATCATAACATTCGTTTTTTTTATTTGGTCAGTTTTTTATGATTTTTAAGAAAAAAATAGTAAACCGTGAAGTTACTTTTTGTATTTAAATTTATATGTTTTAAAATATAACTGTAAATTAACCTGCCTCAGGTAGGTAATTTTGGAGTGCCTAAACGCTGACTAGCGCTTCGGCGATTTCACCAGGGTGGAAGCAGCTGTTAAAAGCGCTTCTGCCCTGGGGGATAAGGTTTTAATAATTATTCATAATAATTGATTGACAATTAATAAAATTTATTTAAAGGAAATAGGCAGGTTTAGCCTCGGACCAGCAGAGATTGCTCCTCTGCTAAGTCCGAGGACTGACTGCTCCAGAAGAAGTCTGAAGACAGAATATGATGTTAAATAATAATTACAAAGAGTTTATATAATGAATTTTAGCAACGCTGCATCTCAGGTTACCCTATGAGAACATCAACGCAGTCCAAAACCCACAACGTAGACTTTTTAGTCTACTGGGCTGCGTTGACGTTCTAGAAATTTGTTATCTCGAGGTATTTCCGTTACGAAATACCTCTGATAATAACTAATTGATTTAAAATAATTATTTATTAAATTTAAAATTTACGAGAACGTAACATAAGATATTCCAGAAATTGACGCTTTAAATTTTCAAGGAAAATAAAAAAATATTGCAAAATTTCGCGAATTTTTATTGAGAGATTCAGTAATCCGCAGTGACGAAAAATAAAATAAAAAGTATCGGTCAATAACTCATATTTTCAATTTTTTAGGATCAAAAAATCAGGTGATTATGAAAGTAAACAATCACCCAATTATTTATTATAATTAATTGATGAATAATATAAAAACTTTTTCAATTTTAACAGATTCATGAAACAGAATCTTACGATATGATGGGTTACATTTGTGCTATTGCAGCAACTTTCTTCACAGCATTAAACATTGTTATAATGAGAAAATGTTCAGAAATTCATTACTCTGTTGTTGTTCTCAACATTTCAATGTGGATTCTTGTCTCATCTATTCTATTTTTTTTCTTTGTTTCGGAAGCTCATCAACATATCCAAGCGTTTCCACATGACTGGGTGACATGGGGTCTAATACTTTTGGTTGCTGCAACAGGACTTTGTGGTCAAATTTTAGTCACTAAAGCTTTAAAAATCGAAGGAGCGGGTAAAGTGTCTGTCACACGTTCTCTAGACATTATATTAGCGTACGTTATTCAAGTATACTTTTTTGGGGATATACCAAACTCTACCAGTATTATTGGTGCAGTTTTGATACTTGGTGCTGTTATTACAATAGGATTTGAAAGAGAAATTTATGGAATTTGTGATTATATACCTTAATGTAAATAAATTTAATTAATGTTGTGATGAAAGCTTATAAATTTATATAAAATTTTTCATGCCATCAAGACATCATGTGATATTTCTTTTAATCCTCTGCAGATAAATCAATTCTTAAAAACACTCACTACTAAATATTAATATGGCATATTTATTGAGTATAATACGATTTAAAAAAAAAGTTCTATTCTACACTTTGGACGTTAAAGATATTGTTTAAATGTAATCATTATTTATTAAAACAAAAAATAGAATAATACAATTACGGATTACTAAAAATCGCATCGTTATACCGATTTCAACAATTTGTACAATTTATTAATTAATTCAATTAGAATTTATAAACTATTTTGTTGTTATTAGTAATATGTTTATTTAATGTTAAAGTGACAAAGTTTTCATACACAATTTATAATAATTTTTCAATTTAAAGATCATTCTATAAATTATATTACGACTGTAATCAACATTTCTAACTTAAACAATAAAATAATATTTAGCTTAAAACTCTTATACATGTTAATATTGATTAAAATTCTACCATAAAACATAGATAAATATTTACTATTGATTACTTCTTTTAACATTATTTGTAAAATTAAAATTACTTACAAATTTGTGATTATATTACAGCTCAAGTAATATATATTGAACCGTTTTATTCTTCTAATAGTTTTAATTGTTGAAAATATTATTTTTCTTTTTTTTTTTATTTTTTAGTATATATTTATTAAAGCGATTTGGTATGAAAGATGTTTTTTTTTTTCTCAGTACTTAAATGTCTACAGAAATTGATCACTTTCTTGTTACTACTATGAATTTTTGTGTATTAGTCAAGCAGTAAGTTATCATATTCAAGCATTCGAAGTTATAAGTTATGAGAATCTTATGTACATATTGTTTTTGTCAATAATTTCGGCATCAATAATGATTGCTTTATTTTTTCTTTTTTCAAATCATTATTCACTATACAATTAAGGCAAACTTTTATTTTTTAATTAAAACTAATGTTTAATTAAGCATTAAAATAATTTCGAATGTATCATTTTATACATGATAAAAATAGTTATTAGTATCACGTTAATGATTGAAAGAATATTTGACACAAATTTACAATTATAAATAGTATAAAAATGCGCAAACAGATTACATTGCTTACATTAACTTTGAATTTATCCTAAATTAAATTTTTTTCAATATATATTATCAAATGGAATGTTTGCAGTGCTACCCGTATAATATTTTTCTGTTAATTTATGTGAAAGCAATCAAAAAAAAAAAGAATTGGGAAATTAAGAAATGTTAAAATTAATTCGAGTGAATTAAAAAATAACTAAATAAATTTAATAATTCTATGAAAAAGTAAAGTTTTTCTTTACATAGTATCTTATATAATTATAATTTATTAATTAAAATTTGCATTGTATGTTATTATTGTTAATATATATTAGATTTTAACTAAATTTTTCAAGGTTAAAAAAAATAAAGTGCAAAGAAATATGTTTTCAATGTTTTGTGAGATTATTTAACAATTGATCGTTGAATCTTCTATTAATCAAAGTTAAAGAAATAGGAGATATTTCATTAACTTATCTATAAATCATTGCACAATCAATATTTCTCACGTTACTTCATTAATATAATTCTTAATTCAAGACATAAAAAGGTGTTTTTTAATCTAAATCCGCTTATGAAAACTACTTAGTTACGTGTATCTATAATTGAATACTTGTATTTATGAACAAATGTACAAGTTATTTTTTTTTTTGTTATTTTATTTATAGTAATAATATATTTTACTGATCGTAACATTGCATATTTTATTATATATAACTATACACAGTTATTGTATGTAGATTAGATTAAAAAGAAAATAATCATACCTTTTGAATCTATAAAAAATTAATAGTTATTACAAATTTTCAAAATTCTTATTGTATAAGAGTTTTTAACATTAAGAGTTTCTAGAGTAAAAGAAAAAAACTTAAATTTTCGTTAAACAAATTTACTGGTATGTTATAATTAAAAAATCAAAAAGAAGGAAAAGAAAATAATTAACTATTGAAAAATAATTAAATCAATAAAATAACGAGCAGAACTTAATTTTGTCCCCTAAACTTTGATAATTTATTTAATTCATAACTTCAAGTGTTTTTCTAATACTTTCAATAATATATGTGAAATAAAGAAAAAAAAAAAACAGACCTTTAATGATAAAACTAGTGTAGATGAAAAATTTAGAACATTTTTACACATGAATTAAATCAAATGTGTATAGGTACGTGATTTAAAAGTTCATTACGGCTTGAAAATACAGCAGCACACATCTCACACGTATACTCAATAGTATCAGGGATAATAGTTTCAGGAACATCTTCACTGACATTTGACATAATATGTTGATGCTGCGTTGTCGATTCAACTTTTACACTTAATTTGACGTTATTTGTCAAGTTTTCATCGTGATTGACACCATCCAAGTCTGGAAGTATTGCTTCATGTTCTTCTTCATCTGCAATGACATTAGCTTCAAATGCTACTTCCATATTACTACCATCTATTTCAGGTTCATTATAAATTGTGGATGACGCGTACTCTTCATTATTTTTGCTACCGATTTCTTCATGTATCTCTATATCTTGAGGTTCTTGTTTTATTGTTACTTGTTTTACTGCACGTCTTCCAGGTTTTCCTTTAACAACTTTTTTCTTTGATAACGATTCTTGTTTACTTTTAACATTTTCGAGATTACCATTATTACTTTCATAATTAATTGTTATATTATTGGGTGCAGCAATCATTTCCATTTTAATATTTTCTGGATTAATCGATTGTACTGGTGGCGCAATATCATCTGATGAATCTTTTGGCTTTGGAAATGTTGCAAGCGTAGCTTGAACTTTACCATCACTGTGATAACTGACATTTTTTGTTCTTGGGCGATTTCTTTCACCACCAGGGAAAATTCCAAGTTTATGTTCAGTGGGTATGACTTTAGGAGTTCTTGTGACCATAGTTTTAGTTTTCTGGCCTTTTTTAGCTCCATCTGTTCCTAACTCAACAGGTACTCTTGTTTTTTGAGTATGTATCATTCGCGGCCGACCAGGTTGAGCTTGTAATTGAGTTTCACCAACTTTCTTCTCGTCTTTTTTCAATTTCTTTTTCGTAAGTCTTGTTTTAGCTGAACTTAAAGTCTTTGAATTATTAACAATTGAATTAATATTCTGTAAAGAACTTTCAAAACTTTTTAAAACATTTTGATAACCTTCCTCAACACTTGAACGATTTTGCTTATTTTTTCTTCCAAGTTTTCTTTTTGTATTATCATCAGATTCTGAACCAAATTCTAATGTATTAAAATTTTCATTTGACTGTGAGGTAAGAGCTGGTAAAGGTGACTCATGAGACTTGAGTTTACGTCTACGTTTATATTTTCTTGGTCCAACTTGTGGTTGCCGACGAAGTGCTGTATTCTCGTCACAATGTTGCACTATATGAAGAACGATTTCTTCAGATGTACCAAATAAATTGTTACAAACTTTGCAAAAAAATGGCGTTAAGCTTCCGTGATATTTAGGATCAGGTCCCGAATGATGTGCACGAACATGCTCTCTAAGAACGACACGTTGATTAAAAGCTCGAGGACAAATTGCACAACCGTACGGTTTTTCACCAGTGTGAATTCTTTCATGTTTTCTTAATGTACCACCATCAGCAAAAGCTTTCCAACAAAATCTACAACCATACGGTCTTTCACCTGTATGAATACGTAAATGAATTTGCTGAGAACTGCGGCTACCAAAAGTTTTACCACATTCCCGACATGGAAATGTTCTTCCACCCAATTCTTTATTGTGTGAATGACGATGGCTAACAAGAGCGCGCCCATCAGGAAATTCTTCACCGCATTCATCACAAGCTACCATCTTATTACGATGTGATACCATGTGTCGCCGAAGCCGAGCTTTGCTGTGAAAACTTTTTCCACATTTAGTACAACCAAATGTTTTATCAACATTGTGAACCCAAGAATGTTTTAATAGGCTTCGTTTATCTTTGCATGTTTTACCACAAAGTGTACATGTATTCGGTGGAGCATCATCAGCATGATTTTGTCGTAGATGTTCTGCAACTTCAGCATCATCACGACATTTTGCACCACAAAGAAGACATCGACGACTAGGTGATCTTGATGCATGAAGTTCAGCATGTGCAAGAAGTGCAAGTGCCTCTTCAAACCACTCTCCACAAACATTGCAAACATGATGTTGGTTTGATTCTTCTTCTACTTCTTCCGTCTCTTGTTTAACATGAATTTTACGATGGCGCTTTAATAGATCAATACGATCAAATGCAACAGCGCATACATCACAATAAAATTGTCCAAATCTTTCGTCATTAGTATAAGTTTCATTTATGTCGTAATCAATGTCACTCGATGGAAGTCCATGTTTAACTCGCATATGTTCACGAAGTGCATTGGGATCCCAAAACATATCACTACAATTGGAGCACTCATAAGGGCTATCGCCAGCGTGAAATCGGGAGTGTGATGCTAAAGCTTTTTCACGAGCAAATCCCATTCCGCAGTACTGACAAACATAGGGCTTTGTAGGATCAGAAATAGGCCATCGAGGAGGTTGAGAGTCTGTGACAATCAACGACTCTGTCCAACGTGAACTCGAAGCTTTTGAATTTGCACCCCGTGTTGTTATATCATCTACAAAATGCAAGTCTTCTTCAACGTAGTCATAAGACTTTCTTCCAAATTTGTCCAATTTAGTTAAAACATCAGGACTTATATTATGTTTTGCAATAACAGTTGCATTATTTTTTCGCTTTCTTGGTACAGAAGATTGAATCTTTTTACGACGACCCTTTATAATATCATCATCATCTTCTAGAGCAAGAGAATCCTCGTCATTCAAATCATCATCGGAACCTTCACGAGGCGGTGCATATGCATGTGTTTTCAAATGATTCATTAAATCAGATTTCCTTACATAACGTGCACCACAAAGATTACAACTGTGCGGTCGATCGTTTTGATGTGTTGTCATATGATTCATAAGATTTGCTTTTTTGCGAAACCTTCGGCTACAGAAATCACACGGATAAGGTCGTGTATTGGTGTAAGGATCTTGTTCAATCGGAATCTCCATATCATCATATTCTAATAAATTGTCATGTGATACTTTTGTTTCTGGGATCTCAACTCTAGAAATAAAAAAATACAAATAAAAGTTAATAAAAGTCAATATGTTTACTATGAAATATAATAATAATAATAATAATAATAAATAACAAACCCATCATCTGGACCCGAGCGATCCCAGTTATCAGTGATGACTTCTTCTGTAACTTGAATATTTAAATAATCGTGCCCTTGATCTTCTTGTGGCATAATATAAATAGATTCTATATCATTCGATTGTGGCACCATTAATATTTCAGTATCCGATGGTAAATTATGTGTTGATGAATTTGAGTCAATTATTGTTTGAACTGTCTCTTCAACACAAACTTCTTCACAAGCCCCAATAACCTCACCATCTTGATCGGTCAGGTTATCTTCTAGATCACATATGACTTCTTCGTGGATAACATTTCCAACATCTTCTTCCCAGTGAAGGGTTAAATCCTCCGAGACTTCCATAGTATCTTAAATTCTTACTTATCGACAGGTATCAACTAAAAAAAAAAAAATAAACAGATTATGTAGACAAAAACTTAAACATTCATTGGCAATTTATCGTTGCATTTTTAGTTTTTATCAATGTTTTCACGAAAATATTAATATTTCAGATATTTAATAAAAAATCAATATAGTTAACTTTTTTGGAATAAAAATGTTGACATTTACGAGGTTATATTATTATTATATAGGTTATGATTACAAAGGTTTATTATAAGGGGATATAGTAATTGTAAAGATAAGTTGCATAATGTTCACGGCCGGTGGTGCACCACGGGATGGCGGCCAATGATCCACTAACACGCTCTCTCTCTCTCTCTCTCTCTCTCTCTCTTTAAGAAAAAAAAATAATTCACACACTTCCATTGTGTAACAATTTTATCGTCATAATAATGAACCACATTCTCGGTGGTTCTGAAAAACATAGATTTTATCAAAAATTTACATACGTCATTACCTTAAATGTTTTTACTGCTGTATCAAACCATCATTTTTACAAACCGCTGCCGATAATTACATCGGCGTTTTCAAATCTCCTTACGAGTTCGCTTACGAGTTTACGGCTCACTTGGCGGTGTGGGCTTTACTAACGATTAAATTACACACATAATATTAAACCTAACCAAAAATACTTTATCGAAGAATTAAAAGTGTAAGCAGCGCAATATCAACCTCACACTTTTGTTTCGTTTGGTGGGGGATCTTTAACTTAAAAATAATAGTACAAAAAATGGTTGATATGCAATGAATAAGAAAACGGCGCCAATACACGCACTAAATAATTATCCACTCGACAATATGTACACCATCATTGAAATTTTGAAAGATCGCCATTATGAGATGAAATTATTACGAATCAAACTATACTTATTGCACGGAAAATTTTTATTTTGTGAGTTTTCAATTTCTAATACTTTATAATAATATTATAAAACTTCATACTTTCGTTGTGAGAACTCTGCATTCACAAATTGTTTAATAATTTGATCGGGTTGGGGTGACATTTTACCCAATAAGACTGGCAACTTTTTCTAGTTTAGTTTGGCAACTGTGAAATGCCGTGGAAAAAGTAATTAAAGCAATCATATGTTTGTATGTATTAATTATATACAAGCTTGTTATACGGGTCGTGCTTGACTTCATCGCCATCTGGTGGTAAAAATTTTAATGCCATAGAATCATTTTTGTTTATCCCCTGATAGCCAGCACCGTAACCAATTTGGCGCCGAATATTAATTTTTTTTCAAAAACTAAATGACAAAAAATTGCTCATGAATTGCTCTTCCGATATAAACAATTGCTCCGCTGCTATAATTAATAATTAATTAATTAATCGTAATTAAAAAATCAAAATTTAATTCCCGATTATCTCTAATTGTGAGGACTAATGTTAATTGTAATAAGTGCCAAAAAATTGCTCATCCTTTTTTCTATTGGGAATGATAATTATTTTGTGCGTAAAATCGTTTTTAATTAATTAATACTATAAATAATTATATGGTAAATTTTCTTTTATGAAATATCTTATACTAATAAAGAAAGTCAGTTTTGTTTGTCCTATTTAATATTGACTCGGAAAAGGTCCGCATGTTAAAAAAATATTAGTAACTGATTTTACAAATTGCTAATTAAATAATTAACTTTTTTAGGATTATTTGTGTATGAATTCAAAAAAAATAATTTTATCTATACAGGTCAATTCTTTATTTTTATTTCATTTCACAATAATTCAGTTTTTAAAATATTTAAAATATAATAGATATTATCAAATTGAGGGGTTATGTCCACTTGTAAGTTCGAAAAAACGTGTTTTTTTGTTTATTTTTTCTGGAGAGGCTTTTAAGGAGGTCCTTTCGCCGCCAATGTAAAATAAAAAATATTAGATTATGAGTAAATTCAATTTTTTTCTAATAGTTAAGGTCCTTATTTATCTAATAGTGAGGTTTAAATTATACTTTACCGGACAAATTTTTGAAAAAATAAAATTTTTAAATGTTAGTATTTGTTCAGAGTCTTACGAGAAAGTCAGACGTTTGCAGTATTTCTCGAATTAT